AAATGAGGCCAGCGCTGCAGCGGGAGCACGATTCGGAACGAGCGGAAGCGCGGAAAGGAGGCCAGCGCTGCAGCGGGAGCACGATTCGGAACGAGCGGAAGCCCGAAAAGGAGGCCAGCGCTGCAGCGGGAGCAACATTTTGAAAACAAGCCCAAGCGAACACCTAACTCCTGGGAATCCTTTGTGCAGGAAAACAATATGCAGAGGGGGGCCGGACATCTTCTGGACGTCATCATGGGAGATGGGAGAGTAGTATTCATTTTGTGTCATTGTGGAGGAGGGGGAGGGGGCAGGATGAGGGGGAGGAGGGGGAGGAACAGGGGGGGGAGCGGGAGGGAGCATGATGAGGGGGAGGAGGGGGAGGAACAGGTGGAGGAGGGGGAGGGAGCAGGGGGAGGGGGAGGAGCGGGGGGAGGAGGGGGAGGGAGTAATTGTGGAGGGGGAGGAAGGGGGAGGGGAAAGGGGGGTGGGTGCAGATTCGGTGCACGCTCTGTGCGCATCTTCGCTGCCTGCCTCCGCCGCCTCCCTGGCATTCAGAGCGTGACCTCGGCGGTGCACGGGCTCGTTTCGAGAAGTGGCGCACACGTCTGCACCGGTCCTGCGGAGCTGCTCCGACATCGAACTCTCTTGAGGTCACAGAGGACTGCCTCCTCCTCCTCCTCCTCCTCCTCCTCCTCCTCCTCCTCCTCCCCCTCCTCGTCCTCGTCCTCCTCCTCCTCCTCCAGCGCGCGATGACGTTTACATCGGGTGACACCAATGCGACCGCGAACAAAAAACACTGGCGACCACCCCGACGAGTACAAACGGCGGAAGCCATGGACCAGAGCCTGGCCGAAGTCGAAGAGTGTCAACGAGGATGCGAAGAGCTCGACCATCCTCACTCTACTGGACGGAGCTGTCTTTCAAGATATGTGAGGACATCGACGATGACATGCTCGAGCCGCCCAGCGGCGAGGACCTCATATTTCAGATTTTTGACGACCGCTACCCAGACAAACCAGCCCCCGAGAAGGTAGTGGGGGTGACGAGGAGGGGCTTGCGCTTGCGCGTCGAAAAGGGCGAGGAGGCCGGTCGATGTTCATGGAAGCCGAACGGGAAGGGCTCGCTCAATGTTCATGGAAGCCGAAAGGGGAGGTGTGATCTTAGCAGACATCGCCCGATGAGTGTTGTTTCTCGACGGTTGCCGCCCGGACGTGGTCAAAAAGGCCGTGGAGATAGCGGCGGCGGGCAGATGATTCTCAGAGCTGGACGTGGCATGCGCCTTGAGAACGACCTACCGCAATCGTTTGTGGAAAATGTTTGGCGGTAGCGGCCATCGTGTGTATACGGTTGAAGGCGATGACCGCAGCATCTTTCCTCCCCGGAGATGATGATGGCGGAGATCCTGATGATGATTCTGTGTGCGAGGCGTATCTGGCTGCTCACAACGTCGAGGGCCACGAGCCCATAGGCGAAACTAATGCCGTCAAGGCTCCGATCAGCTCGAAGGAGCAAAGGAGGATGCATAGCACATGGAAACTCGGTCGTGGCTTCGTGAGGCCTGACCTCAAGGCATTGCGACCTCGTGTCAGAAACCATCATGGCCACAAGCTCGGCCACTAAGAGAGAGAGAGAGAGAGAGAGAGAGAGAGAGAGAGAGAGAGAGAGGGAGAGAGAGAGAGAGAGAGAGAGAGAGACGAGAGAGAGAGAGAGAGAGAGAAAAGAAAGAGAGAGAGAGAGAGAGAGAGGGAGAGAGAGAGAGAGAGATAGTGCCGCGAATTGCAGCAGTCCTCGGGCAAAGGGGGCGTCGGCCCAGGGTCAGCGGTCGCCATGAGCGCCAAGCCCAAGCAGGATGCCTTCTTCGTGGGCTCGACTGATGATGAGACCGTCGAGACTCACGAGTACTTGTCCCCCTCCCCCAACCTCGTGGACGTGCTGGACGGCAGGAGGCGCCAGCGGAAGGATCTCAGCTAGGGCCAGGTCGTTCCCCGAATGCCTGGGCGGATGCGTTGCTCGCGTCTGCTCCTGGTACGGGCGTGGGCGTCCCTGGGCGCGCCAGCGGCGTGGTTGGCGCTGAGACGTTCGACGGGCGCTGCGAGCTACTTCGTGGGCGCGGACTTAAGCCCGTGATCGACATGGCTGCCCCCAGGATTCAGTTCAGATTTGGAAGTACGAGCGTGCAGGAGTTGATTGCACATGAAGTACATGTGTGGTTCCGTCCCAGGAAAGGCTCCTCTCCTGGACTCCAGGCCCCAGATCAAGGACATGGAGTCTCATATTGGTTCTGAACACGACATGATGTCTGTTGCTTTTGGCCCGCTGACGACGCTGGAGATGGTCCGAGCGGCCGCTATCCATTGTCGCTGTTGGGTTTCCCGACATCTGGCTCCAATGTGGAAGGCGACCCGTTCGTCGGCGCCGATGGCGTGGGCGCGTGCACCGCCCAGGCCGACGTCGTCGCGACGGACGGCGATTGCTCCGACCAGACCGAGGCGCTCCTGGCTGAGACCGATGACTTCCAGATCAGAAGCAACCTCGCCGTCGGCGCCATTGACGGGCCGCCGTGGTCCACATAATCAAGGGCGAGCTCGGACGAGAAGGTAGATTCGAACGATCCAGTCCTGGGCGAGCTGGTCCGAAAGCAGTCCGGGGGGTCTTCGACTGGCGACGACGCACTCGAGACCACGGACCGCTAGCTCATGCGGCGCGAGGTCGGGGCTCAGAGGCCGACGTGGTTCGCCATGGCGCCGTCGCGCGCTCTCTCCCCCGCGCTTCAGGAGACGAATCCCGACGCTGGAGATCCCGGCGCTCAATGGCGTCTCAGACTCCGTCAGGCACGGGCGCGCGTGCGGATGTGCGTCCAGGTCGCTGAGCATCAGCTGCGTGGCAGGCGCTTCTATATGGAACAGACAGAGTCGTCGCGAGCTTGGCGGTTCACTGAGATGGCACGTCTGCTGGCGATGGGCGTTGAGACTGCCTGTGGACATGGGTGGCGATGGGGTTTCCGAGATCCCGTGTCTGGCCCCCGCTGCAGGAAGCCTTTCCATTCCGCGACCTCGAGCTCAACGCTGGTGGCCTGATTGGACTCAAGTCCTGGAAGCACCGCGAGCGCGAGCGCGTCATGGGCCGCGCGGGCGGGGCGCGTCGCAGTGTGGTGTCGCAGCGATGCCCCGAGAAGCTGATCAAGTCCATCGTCGATCGCGTGGCCCAGAAATGCCCGACCGTTTCGTGCGACTCGGATCCTGCAGGAGCCGCCCAGGCCATTGGTCTGGCCTGGCGGGCGGTCGCCGCCCGCGCGTTCGCGCCAATCTTGGGCGCCCGGGCACAGGTGATCTCGCCCGCGTCTTCTGAGCGTGGCAATGCATCCGAGGCGGTTTCTCCGTCGCGCGCGACCTGGAGTGATGCGTTTGTGGGCCGCGTCAGCGGCGGGGGGTCGCCTGGCCAGCCAGGGCGCCCCAGGATCGTCGGCCCCTCGCCGAGATCGGTTTTGGCTAGAAGCAGCTGCCCTGCAGCGTCCCCGGGGGGCGCTGGAATGCTGTCGACATCGTCGATTCCGGCCCCCCCTCCAGTGAGAGATGCCATTGGCTGGTGGCCGCGAGAAGGGGGGGGCGCTGGGGAAGGCCCGCGACGTGGGATGGCTCAGACCCTATCGGCGCCCAATCTGGCGAGATACGACGCAGGGCGGTCGAGCGCAGGAGATCTTGCGAGCGCCGTCCTCGAGAGCAGCGGCGCCGGCGTTGCCGTCGTACCTGGAGAGGGCAGTGGCCGCGTCGGGGCTCGGCTTGAGGACGCGCCCGAGGAGGTCGTGGACACCGTCCAGCCCGAGGCCCGCGATGCTTGGGGGCGCTGTGGCCATGGTGGCTGCGCGCCTTTGGGGGGGTCTCTTTACTAGCGCGCCTTTGGGAGAGCTAGTGAAGATCGGCGATCCAGATGCCGTCGCCGACGGTGTCGTTCTCAACGTGAATGCGCATGGCAGGGCGATGGCCGCCCAGATGGCCGCCCGCATGGCGCTGCTCGCGCCCAGCGATGGTGAAGCCGTGCGTGCTGCCCTCGATGCGATGTTCGACCGCGTCTTCCTCGGCAGTTTCGATTCGGTGACCGCGCGGCCGACTGGCGACGCGGGCGGGGCGGGGGCCCCGAGACGGGCGGCAGGGCCGAATCCAGATGGCACCGTCGAGCAACCCTCCTTGGCGAAGAAGCAGGGCGCCACTGGCTCTCGCGCGCCGGAATCCTGCTCCGAGATGCGCCAGAACATGTGCGACGTGCAACTGGCGAGGAGGCCCGAGCTGACCACTGCGCGCCGAAAGAATTTCGCCCTGCCCAGGGCCCCCTGCGAAGGTCAGTAGATGGCAACGGCTAGTGCGTTGATTTGACGCGAGCAGGGGCCTTGGCCGCCTGCGCGGGTAACGCCGCTGCCTCAGTAACGTCGGCCTGCCGAGATCTACTGTGCAGCGTTGCTTATTCGGCGAGCTGACCTGCCGCCAGCTGCGCCGCAGGCTCTGCGTCCAGGGCGCGGCGAGGCACTGCCGCGCCCTGGCGGCGCTGGGCTGCGGGCGGGGGCCGCCGGCCGAGACGTCGGCAGACGTGATCCTTCCGGCCGCAGATGCGGCGGAACCCTCGCCATTTCGCGCCGCCGGGCGGTCTGGGGAGGCGGCGAGGGCCGCCCGCGGTCGAGAAGTTGCGCATCGCCGTCAAGGCCGCCGGCGTGGCCGAGGCCTTGGGCGACGACGAGCTACTCGCGACGAGCATCTGGGGAATGGCAGATAGTGTGCTCTGTCGCTCTCTCGTTCAGCCGCGACGGGCCCTGCCCCCCCTGGGGGCTGCGACGAGATGCCCGCGGAGATCGACGGTCCACTGCCTGGTGGGCGAACTGCGGTTGCGTTGGCGGACGGCCCCCCCGGGCGCGCGAGCCAGATGATTGGGGGGGCGAACTTCTCGCAGAGATTGATGGGCAAACAATTTGGACAGGCTGTGCTGAGTTTGCTGTTCGCGAATCTCGGGTCGACGCTGGCGCCGACCAGGGCGACTCGGACGTGCGTGGCGCCGGCGTCGCGGCCGCCCGCGTCGTGGGCCGCGCGGGCGCGGGCTCGGCCGGCCCGAGGCGTGGCGTCTGCCTCGCTAGCGGCAGAAAGGTGATCGCCGAGCAGTCCAGAGTCCAGGCCGACCTTGCGGGGGCGATCCCCAGGGTCGCGCTGGTGGAGCGACAGGCTGTGGATGCCGAAAAGCATGCGGCGCGCGACCAGTCCGTTTAGGGGGCCATCGACGCCTGGTGCGTTCACTGCCGGGGTTGGGGGCGGTGACCAGGAGCTGGTCAGGGCGCGTTGGGTGGTCTGAGGTCTCATGGGCCCCGACGCTCTCGAGCTCGTTTACCGGTGGGAAGCGGCAGCGCCCACTGTTCCGCAAAATATATGGGTGGCGGTTTTTGCAACTTCTGGCTTCGTCGTCGGCCGCTGCGGATTGGCGGCGTCCCCGACGAGCTGCAGAGACCAGATGGTTTGCGCCGAAAAACCTCAGGGTTGATGGCCCGGCTTACATGCTGACCAGATCGTCGAGCTGATCCTTCCACTCTATAGACTGGGCGTCGCACCCAGCAGGTGGCTCAACGATGCCAGCGACTGACCCGATGTGGGCGGAGAGCGGCGTGGAGTATCCCCGGGGAGAAACGGACTGCTCCGTGCCTATGCTATCTGCAAAGTGATGTCAATATCTTTAGAGTGTTGGTCATGCGCGTGGACGACGTACTCATCGGCGGGGACGGACGTGTTTTTTTTTTTGGGGGGGTCAGTTCCGTGTCGGGTTCTTTTCCAGGGAGTGGATTCCGAACGAGGGCGAGTATTGTGGCGCGATACAGATGCAGGATATCGACACTTTCGCCATCAGCTGCGCCCGTCGCGATTGCACCGATGACCCCTGTGCAGCCCTCTCGCGTGTCGGCGTTCGATTCAGAGCTTGAGATGAAGGCCGACGAGGCCGAGATCGCCGCAGCGCGGCGACTGTCGGGACAGGCCAAGTGGCAGTATGGCACAAGTCGCATCGGCGCCGTGAGGGTGATGGGCAGCGCTCTCGCGGGCGAGGCGCGGGCTCTATCGGGCGGGGGTTGTCGTCGCGAGTGGCTGCAGTGCCGTCTCGCCGACGCTCCCCGCCCCGACTTCGACGTCGAGCGACGGGCAACGTGGCTTCAGCTCCACCCTGCTACGGCCGCTACCTACTGCCATCGCTTGTGCCGCCATATCACGAGGGCGCCCTCGCCTTCCGCCGTGGGGGTCCGCCGCGCGGCGGTGGGCACTTTGATCAGAAATGAGGCGCCCAGCTGGGTCCGCGCTGCCTTGGGATGGGCGCCAAAGAATCGCCAGCTGGGTGACGTGTTTGCCTGGGGTTCTGCCGACCCCGGCGACCTGGCGCGCTGTGCGATCGCGCCCGCGCTTATCAGCTTGCCGATGGGGTCCACGGTGCCGGGCCGTGCCCGGGCCAAGCTCGGGGGAATGGCAGCTTCGGAAGTCCGTCAGGGCTTCGATGCGCGAGTGCATGGGGCGGGCCAGAGAAAAGTCCAGGTATCGTTCAGAGCTTTGTTCCGTTGCAGTTTTTGATATTCGGCGCCGTGGGGTCTCCTGCGAGCCCGACCCCTGTGGGCCTTAGAATCTCGCGTGTTCAGTAAGTGCTTAGTTTTGTGCTGTCGTGACCTGGGGGCCCTTGGCCCTCTGCCGCGCAGTGGGTTCCTGTTCCGTAAGTCTATAGTATGGTTCTGATGTCGAGAATAAATATGTCTACTACCGCTCGGTTTTGGTATATAGCGCGAGGGTCTCCAGGCCCCATTCGTTTTCCCTTTCCCCCCCATCTTCCGCCCTGTCCGCCCAGCAGAATCGCGGGCTCGAGTGGCGAGCAACGTTCGTCACCACTCATGGTCCACCGCGACCCAGGGATGCATCAACCATTGCCGCATGATGATCACAACCCTCATCGTCGCCGCCAGTCACGAAGTGGTGATCACTTCTGCGGTGGAGAAGGGCGGGGTCGACGCTTGCCTACTTCTCTGAGTAAAACACCAGAGGATCAACATCACGGTGGCCCTGGCGCTCGCAACTCGTCGCGTGCACGTGAACGGTCCAGCAGCTCTCTTGGATGCAGCGCGTCTGGGTCTCAAGAGGCTCGAGTCCAAGTTCGGCGATGAGGTGAAGGAATTTGTTGTGTTCGCCTGGGTACGCAAGTCAGCCAAGGAAGCTGTCAACAGTTTGCCGAGCCGGTTGATCACACATTCGCGACGCCCCGAGACAGTCCGTGAAGCAGTTGAGCAGCTGGTCAAGGAGGATCTAGGCTAGTGGCGCACGGCCGTCAATACCAAGGATCAGTGCTACTTTACGCGTTCGTTTGAGCAACAGGTCTTTGCCGGCGATATCATCATGCCCACCAAAAGATCGTCACCGGGAACAATGACTTTCGCGGTTCGATGCTGTCTTTCGGTGGGACGATCGGCGATGTTTTCGACGGCGGGTACTTCGATGTTGATGATGCACAGGACGGGAAGAACGCCAACCATCCGAAAAGGTGCACCGACGCCTCCTCCGACCAAACATAACCGCGGCCCACGCCATCCCGTGAGCACGTGAGGCCTGAGGCTGCTTAGCGAGATACATACTTTTCAGTGTGGAGATTCTGTGTATGTTTTTCGTCGCTGCCTGCCTCCGCCGTCTCTTTGGTTCCAGGGCGTGACGTAGGCGGTGCGCAGGGTTGTATCGACAAAATAGCGCACATATCTACAGGCGGTGGTGGTGGTGGGGGGGGGACGGCGGTGGAGGGGGACCAGGAGGATGAGGAGGGGGATGGGGCAAGGCGAGTGGGACGGGGAGGAGGAAGTCGAGGCGGTGGAGGGGGGGGGCAGAAGGATGAGGGAAAGGGTTGGGAGGAGGGGCAGGGTGATGGGGGAGGAGATGAAGCGGAAAGCGGCAGGACGGTAAGGAACCGAAGGAGGAGATGGAGAGGAGGAGAGGAAGGAGGAAGGAGTAGGAGGAGGAGGAGAGGAGGAGGAGGAGAGAGGAGGCGGAGGAGGAGGGAGAGGAGAGGAAGGAGGAGGATGGAGGAGGAGTAGGAGGAAGAGAGGAGGAGGAGCAGGAGGATGGAGGAGGAGGAGGAGGGGGCGAGGCGGTGAGGGGACAAAGGATTGAGGAAAAGGGGTGGACGGAGGGGAGGGTGAGGGGAGGAAAAGAAGCGGAGGGGGGAGGGGTAAGGAACCGAAGGAGGAGGCGGAGGACAATGAGGAGGCGAAGGAGGAGGAGGAGGAGGAGGGGGAGGAGGAGGAGGAGGAGGAGGAGGAGGAGGAGGAGCAGGAGGAGGAGGAGGAGGAAGGAAGACGAGGAAGAGGACGAGGAGGAGGAGAGGCTGGATCTGTTCGAAGTCTGCGAGTGTCTCCGAATGATCTGCAGTGCTTGTTGTGGCGCTGCCATTGCGTCTCTCGGGTGCACCGTCCACGCCTCGGCCAGCGCGCCGTGATCAGCAAGCATGCTGCGCGCAGATGTGGTTTGGCAATTGTTTTCGCACGTTCGTTCTTTCCCGAAGCCATGCTTTCTGATGATAGCAGGGGCAGAAGAGGAAAAGGTGGAGCAGAAGGAGGAGGAGGAGGAGGAGGAGGAGAAGAACACGCAGGAGAGATATGGCGAGGTGGTCATGACGAGGACGATGATGACGATGATGCTGGCGGTGATGATGGTTTGTATGACCAGGGCGGTGCTGGATGTTTTTATTGTCATGGTGATTGTGACGGAGATGATGATGATGCTGCTGATGACGCTGATACTGATGCTGGTGGTGATGCTGATGATGTCAGCGACGACGACGCTGATGACGCTTCTGGTGATGATGACGTGGTGATGCTGATGCTGATGCTGGCGGTGATGCTGATGATGATGCTGCTGATGCTGATGATGATGATGATGATGATGATGATGATGATGATGACGACGCCGCCCGTTTTCAGTGCAGGGGGTATTGGTTGCAGCCATGATGACAACGAACGGTGGATAGTTTGGTTCTGGTGATGAGACTGAGTGCGAATGTGGTGAGTTTGGCAAATGCGTCGACAACAACAACGACAATGCCAGTGACGATTATACATGGGATGGTGCTGTTGATGCTGATGATGCTGATGCTGACGATACTGATGATGACGACAATGACGATGACGACAATGATGATGATGTTGATGATGCTGATTGTGATGATGATACTATAATAATATCGATGATGCTGATGCTGATGCTGAGTATGATGATGATGCTGATGCTGATGACAATGATGGTGCTGCTGATGCTGATGCTGATTAGGCTGATGATGCACATGATGAAGGATACTATTATGAACATGTTGTTGATCATGATGAGGATGCTGATTATGATGATGCTGATGATGGTGATGATGCTGGTCATGATGATGATGACTGCGTCGACGACGATGATGATCACGATGATGATGCTGATGCGGACACTGATGCTGCTGCTGATGATGATGATGTTGATGCTGCTGCTGCTGCTGATGAGGATGAGGATGCTGCTGCTGCTGATGATGCTGATGATGATGATGATGATGATGATGATGATGATGATGATGGTGGTGTTCCTAGTGGTGTTGACGGTGGCTTGGCGACGGTGTTAATCTGGTTCTGGTGGAAAAATCCGCCACTGTGAACGCTCAGCAGCACAACGGGGATGAAGATGACGACGACGACGACGGAGGTGATGGTGGTGGTGGTGATGATGATGCTGCTGCTGCAACTGATGATGATGATGATGATGATGATGATGATGATGATGGTGATGACGATGATGATGATGATGATGATGCTGATGATGATGATGATGACGATGCTGATGATGATGATGATGATGATGCTGATGATGATGATGATGATGATGATGATGATGGTAGTAGTGTTGATGATGCTGGTGGTTATGTTGATGAGAAGGAGCAGGCGGAGCAGGAGTTCGATGACCCAGTCCAGTTCAGTGTCCTGACGGAATTGTGCCGTCCTTTTTGTCCTCAGCCCTCTTGTTTTGCTTCCCCTACTTTTGTCTCCTCTTTATCCACTTCCTCCTCCCGCCCTCCCTCCGCCCCCATCCTGAAGGCATGTTGGAGGCTTCCTGGGAGCATTTCGGGGGCCTGCTCAGGGTGCTCTTGGGGCCCTTTCGAAAACCTTTTGGGGCATGTCATGGGTACTTTGGCCATCTGGGAGCCACCCTCGGGTCGTTTGTGTTGCGCGGGTTCT